ATTTTATTAATTTGTTAAATCTAATATAAAATAAGATTTATATATAATCTATTTTAGATTTTCAAAATAATAGTTTTTCTGTTCTATTTATATAAAATTTAAAATTATCAAAAAGAAAATAGCCATTTTAGAATTAGTATTGAATAATATCTAAATTCTTCTATCTTAAAATTCATACATTTGATACATGCGATATTTTTTCTTATTAGTTATTCATTTATTTTATTGCATAATATATATATGTATAATATATTATATTCATATTAAATTTAATAGAGTGTTTTTCAATTTATTTATCGATACTTAAAATACGGGTATAATATTATATACTACTAAAATAGTAATAAGCAAAGTAAAAAAAAAAAAAAAATATTTAATCTATTCAAACAAAATATATATTATTTGTTTTTAGTTATGTTATATTTATTTTTTATTATATTAATTATACATATATACATCGTATACTTATAAAACGTCGTTTAAATTTTAATAAGAAATCACGAAACAATTTCAATAAGATATCTGCTCTATTTTGTTTATTTCATTAAACTTAACGTATTAAATGTTAAGTGATATGATAAAACTATTCTTAAATCTTTAATTGTATATGTATATGATCACAAAAATTTTGTAATATGTAATATGTAAATGTATCTATATATATTCAAATGTACAATTTTAAATTATCTTATATTTGAAGTCTTTCATAAATATTATTTAGGTAATTAAAATATTAGGTCAATAAATACAATTATTAGAAGAATTTTCCATCTTTTATTTGAAATAAAAATTATTAAACTCTATTTATTGTGTTTCAATGTTAGTGTTTATTTATCTAATTAATAATTACTTAAAAAAATATGAAAAATATTTATTCATTATTATTTTTTATTTAAAATGTATATTGAAAATACATATTTTTTTTATCCTAAATGATAAATTATTTCATTCTGTATTAATTTGCATACTTGTACACGATCCTTCTCTAAAAAAAACCTGTTCCAAATAATCATAAAATTATAAGTATTTTCTAATGAAAACGATGTTAAAAACGAAAGATATTCGGAAAATATTTCAATGAATGATTCAGTTTAATGTTCTATTCAAAAATCAATATAATATATTACATTTCGATATAATGGAAAAATCTAACAATTAGCTAAATTATGATTTCTGAATTTAATATGAATCTTAATAATTTGATTCATAATTTTAAAATTTTTTTAATCTTTCCTCACTTAGTTTCGGTAAAAAAAATTAATTTTAATCAAATTTGACGTTATGTTAAAAATATAAAAAATGATATTATTTTAAAGTTGATCTATATTAGAACTAAGAAGTTCAAGCTCTACACGAATGATTGAAGGCAAATCATCACCGACTTGTGCATCGAAGTATTCTCTAAGCTCTTTAACTTCCTCCTGCCAGAAGCTTTTTGGTAATCTGAATAACTCTTCCATGTCTATTTTCATTTTCAAGTTTTCCAAATTGAACGATTCTAATTTAGGTAATAGACCTATAGGAGAATTTGTAGCAATATCCTCGCCTTCGATTCTGCGAAAAATCCAATCCAGAACGCGAGAATTCTCACCGAATCCTGGCCAAAGGTATTTGCCATCCGCATTTTTTCTGAACCAATTCACGTGAAATATAGTTGGCAGGTTGGCATTCTTCATTTTGGCCATACTTAGCCAATGATCGAGATAATATCCAAAATTGTAGCCAAAGAAGGGTCTCATAGCAAACGGATCGTGCATGATTATCTTTCCCTAATTCATAATTATTGAATAAATCATTTAATTTCCAAAGATAAAATTATAAGACAAATGATTACAAAAAATAATTTATTTTTCTTTTATGATTTTTTTAAATAATCAAATTAGTTTTAAAAAAAGAAATGCATATCATCTAGTTCAGTATGAAGTGATTTTCTAAATGATTTTTATTATTATTATTTTAATAATTATAATTATTATTTTATTATTAAATTATTATTTAATATCTTTCATGTTATTACCTTATGTTCTGCTGCAGCAGTAGCTTCAGACTTCATCGAAGCTCCAATGAAAACACCATGTTGCCAATTTCTAGCTTCATATACAAGAGGAACACCTTCTGGTCTTCGACCTCCAAAAAGAATAGCATCTATGGGAACACCATTTGGATCTTCCCAAGCTGGATCGATAATAGGACACTGTCCAGCCGGAGAACAGAATCTGGAATTTGGATGTGCTGCTAGCGATTTGGATCCTCTGGTCCATTTCTTGCCTTGCCAATCGGTGATCTATATAAATGTCGTTATTTACTGTAATTCAACTAATTCCATAAATGAGACATGATTAATTTTTGAAGAAGAAAAATTATAAAATATAGTAACAAACTCTTACTTCAATATCATCACTAACTTCTTTCTCTAATCCTTCCCAAAAGATTCCACCATCACTAGTGGAAGCTACATTGGTGAAGATAGTATTTTTAAAAATAGTTTTCATGGCGTTAGGATTAGTGGCGAAGCTAGTTCCAGGTGCAACACCAAAGAATCCATATTCTGGATTTATGGCACGAAGTCTACCTTCCTTATCGAATTTCATCCAAGCGATATCATCACCTACGCATTCGATTTTGTATCCTGGTAATGTCGGCTTCATCATGGCCAGATTGGTCTTGCCACACGCGCTAGGGAATGCAGCAGTAATATAACGCTTTTTACCTTTTGGATTTGTGATAGCCAATATCTATAAAAGATAACTAATGTAGAATCTTTTAAACAACTGATATACTTGCGAACGCCAATGTTGAAAATAAATTTTTATAGAAGTATATATAATAAAAAAAAAACAATTTAATTTTAATATATTCCTTTGCATTTAATATATCATCAATGGAATATAATAAATATTGAAGTCAAATCTTAATGTTTGTAATGATGCGACTATATTTGGAGACATAATTAGAGAAAAGAATATGAGTTTCTCAACTCTCAGTTTCAATGTTAAATTGTGAATGATTAATTACATACAAGCATATGTTCTGCAAGCCAGCCTTCATTTCTGGCGATAGTTGAACCAATTCTCAAGGCAAAACATTTTTTACCGAGTAAAGAATTTCCACCGTAACCGCTTCCGTAAGAGACTATTTCATTTTTGGCTGGTTTATGAAGAATGATCGTTCTCTCTGGATCACAGGGCCAGGAACAATTAACATTAATTTTTGAATCAGTCTTTGGAACGCCGACAGAATGCAAACATTTGACAAAATTATCATTCTCAAGAGCTTCTAGAACTTTTCTACCCATTCTGGTCATTATTCTCATGGAACAAACAACGTATGGAGAGTCTGTAATCTCTATTCCAATTTTTGAAAGAGTTGAACCCACTGGACCCATACTGAATGGAATGACATACATTGTCCGACCTGGATTATAAATGTGAACTCATCAATTTTTTTTATTCATTAAATCAGAAATACATCTTCAAAATTCCTTTAAAATTACCTTTCATGCATCCTGGAAAACGTTCAAGGATTGCTTTGTCCATGTCAGCCGGAGAAATCCAATTACCCAATTCTCCAGTAACATTTTTGCGTGTAGTGGGAACTGTATCGGATTTACGTTCTGTGCTGATAAACGTGAATTTCTCAACTCGTGCTACGTCTGCAGGATTCGTCCTAGCAAGCCAGCTAAAAATAAAATATACTGTATTTAAATAATTGAACGTATTTAAATAACTGAACATTTTATTTGTATTTTAGATTTTAAATAACTCAAGAAATTAAAAATTTCAAGATTATTGCATAAAAGAAAACAATAAAAATATTTTATTAATCGTTTCTTCATAAGTATTTTTTTACTTCAATGAACATATCCTATGTATCTTATACTTGTCTTTATAAGACAGATTATTTAAAAAAATTTTGTGAAAATTCATAACATAATAAAATTAAAATTTTTTTATTTATAATTTGATTAAAAAAAATTAAATTTAAAAAGATACTTATACGAAAGAAAACGTTTCTTTTTAAAAGTTCTAATAATTGAATTAAATTTCATAATGATTATGAAATTATTATTCAAATACATTTACCAATTTTCATATTTTGTTAAAGGTGATATAGTTCCACTCTTTTCCATGAGTTTCAACAGGTGATCGTATTCTATGTCGCTTCCATCGCAAATATAAATATCTTTGGGACAACAAAGAGATGCACATTCTTCTATATATGAACGAACTTTTGGACTGAGGCATTCCGATAGTGTATTTAACAAAGGTATCTTCCCTATATATTCGTAATTATTGTTGAAGGATGGACTCTTCGCTACATTAGTGACCAATGTGGAAACTCTGGAAACAATATTAAATTTTATTTGTAGCTTAAAGTATATAATTAAAAAGTACATAATGCTTAGAATTAAATTAATATAATTTTTTTTTAATCCATTTGTAATATTGCGTTTATCTTTGTGATTGAACTTTTGTTTTATTTTAATTAATTTCAATATTTTAATTTAAATATATTCTTTTCTGTAAATTTTAAAACGCTTAAGCTATGTTATTTTTTAATATCACATATATATTCTTCAATATTTAAATTTGAATTTATTTCTTTACGTTTAAAATATTCTTTGTATAATGTGTTTTTCTCTTAATTATTCGATATAATATATATTATTTATATTTTATTTCTCATATTGCAATACTTATTTTCACGAATATCTATTCTTAATTTCTAAAACTTTCATCATAGATATTAGGTCAAAGTAACAGGTGGCTCTATAGAGGACTTGTTAAAAGCATAACTGATTGGCTCTCACTCCAATATTTCAGAAAGCTTAAAAATGAATCGTTCACAAAGTGAAGATGGATTATTTCTATATTTAATCTTAATAACGGATACTTATCCGTTTACTTTTCATTGATAAACTTAAAAAAAAAATATCTCGCAACTTTCATCATCTCGCATATTCCATCGTGATAAAATGTATCCTTTCCTTTTACTAGGAAAACCTGTTGTCTTTATAATATATAATATAAGTACATGTACTAACTTTGTTACAAAAATTTCCACGCTTCAATGAACACAATCGTTATCGTAGAATACGTGTTTTTTTATTAAAGGAAAAAGTATCAATTAAGAAACTCTAAACTCTTATTTCCATTAGTTCGGTGAAAGTATTGTAGAAGTTATTATTTAGTTATTATTATTATTTGCCAGTTATTAGAACGTATAATAATTATTTGAGTAGGATATTTAAATTAGGAGGAATATTCGCAACAAAGGGGTAACGAAGAAAGTTTAAATAAACAATAAAATTTGAAACTTAAAATTGAAAACTTGAAACCAGTGAATCGAGAATGTTGTTAATCGATTGTTGAGGATAGCCCATTACACAGATAAGATTGCATTTTAATAATATTTTCGCTGAAACAGTATCATTTTGATTATTATATTAACTGAATGATCGTGCGTAATTGTTGCAAATTAAATCGATTCGTTTTCGGTTCTATATAAAACTGTCATTTAATAATATTATAACAAATCAATAACAAATAATGCACATATAAATTGCGTAACGAAGATTGCATTAGAAATTACGACGAGATTATGCAATAACAGTCAAATAGAGTGAAATGAATAAGTTCTGGCTAAGTATCTTTCACATCTCACTTCTTATAGTTTGATGTATTTCGCGATTGCGACAATTGTTCCGGAATTTTCCCTATCCTCGATCTAATATTAATTCCTGTTAAAGATATAATATAAACAGGAAATAACACCATCTCTTAATTTGATCTTAAAATTTCATCGATACTTGAACAGAAATTTATATTCCCTATCAATTTGAATCAATTTTATCCGCGTTATTTTTCAAAACGAATTGAAAAAACTATTATTAAAAATTCGTTAAATGAGGATAATAAGCATCTCTTAAATTTTGAAAAACATTATCCAAAACTTCGTTACGTCAAAATGGAATACTGACCAAATACCATCAAAGCATCTCAGCCATCCTCTCCAAACAAAACCGATCAAATTGGAGGGAAAGAATGAATTGGCACAATCTGTAGAACACTGAATGTGATACTACTCACTGCGGATAATAAATGTCGACCGCGTGCGGCATCTCGTTGAAGATCGGTTCGAGCGTTCCGTGTCTCAATATCGCCCCGAATCGTCTCGCCTGTTGCCTGTTTCCGGCGTAATCGGCCGGAAGATTCCTAACCGAGAAGAAGATCGACGACGATCGTCTCGAGGGTGTCGCGACCAACGGCAATCTCCTCGTTACGAGTTTCGTCCACCGTGCCGGATCGACTCTCGCGGACATGTCCTGCGTTCGCTCGCTTTTATATCGATCGACAAAGGATTTATTTTATCGATGCGAGCCCTAAGCTTAATTCCTCCCCGTGGATTGGCCGCGAAGCACTTCCGCCGGGGCGAAGTGGGGGGATCGATGGCGATGGAATCGGCGCTGGACTTTTGATCAGTTGACGCGGCTCTTGGCCTCGCCGATCGTGGCACCTCCTGCAAACGATGCTCCAGATGATCCTCTCTAATCGAGATGGAAGGGGATCACCTCGAGATTTGCCGATCGATCTTCGAGGAACCTGATAGGCTCGATCGAAGACTGGATCGAGTGACGCGAGACTCGTTGAAGTCGATCCTCAGAGATCTCGAGGATGGCCGCGAGTAGCGTGGCGCGAATTCGTTGCGGCCGAGGAAGTGGTAACGGTCGACGACACGCACGGTTGGCGATGAAAGGAGGAGGAGAAGAGGAGGAGAAGAGGAGGAAGAGAAGGAGGAGGAGGAGGAGGAGGATGATGACACGATCGATCACACGGTTTGAAGCGAACTGCAGCTTGCGGCGGAGTGAATCGGGAGTAAAAGCGATCGCGGCGCACCGACTGATCGAGCCACGAGGCCGACGCATTCGAACGAAATCGGTTGCGCGAAGTCGTTTTATACATCGAAAACGCCTTACGCTTACCTCGCGTTACTTACGTTTTGCTCTTCTATTTTTGCGCCAACACTTTCGCTTTCCTTTATCTGGCGCAACACGCGCGAGGAGAGCGACCAGCTCGCGTTTAATTAACCCGGAGCGGATTGGTGCACGCGCTTGGGCCGGATTCAAATACTTGTTTCGAAATGAAACAAAATGACGACGTTAAGGTGAACGCATTGTGCTAGGATATTAACGCGGTCGTAAAATCCGGGGAATTGAACGAGGGTGTAGGCGTATGTACGTGTATGTTATCGTATGATCGCGTATTTGGCAAAAGTACGAGTTTTAAATAGGAAATGTTTTAAAGTTCGAGAATTTGTAAGTCGATTTATTATTATATTTGTGTTGTAATTGGCATAAACTTGAATTGTTTTTTTAGAACTCGAGTTTTAATAGTTATCTATTAAATTTGATTTTGTAATTTTGTTGTTGAATATGTATGATATAAGATGGTATTCGAAAAATAAATAAAAAAAATCATTTTTTAGGTTTTAATAGGAATGCTGTACTTAGGAGGATAATGAAAAAATCATATCTTTATACCATGTGGATAAATATTTTGGAATGGATTGGAAAAAGTCAGATTTAAGAACGAAAGAATTAAGAGATGGACCATGATGGTGTTGTTTCATCTTTGATCTACGCTTAATCTAAATAAGAAATTTTCTTGATGAATGGAACAGATGAAAGATAAGGAAATTTTGTTATTTAAATAAACCTATTTCGATCGAATCAAACGTGAGATTTGGAAGAATAATATTTGACGAACGATCGAGGAAGTTGATTGGCTGATTAAATATCACAAGTTTGAATAAAATTGAAACTTTTAAGAAAAATACTCGATAAATATAAATATATATGCTCGAAAACTTGATGAACTTTAGTTAAAAATTCGTTGGAAACAAAAGTGTAATAACAAATTTTAATAAACAATAATATATTAAAAGATGTAAATATGATCGATACATCTTCTATTTCACAAAGATCAATAAATTATTCGATCTTGTAATCAATTTAAATTTCGAACAAGATTCGAACAATCCAACAGTTCAAGGAATGATTAAATTGCTTGCAAATTGATGAGGATCGTGATGCTTTTATCTAATCGACGAGACAATAGTTCAAAGTATAAGAAACTGAACATTATTCGAATTGCTGTTCCAAATAAATCAATTCTGTCAAGATAACGAAAAGCTTTTTTTCTCAAGAAATCTTCTTTTTCTGGAACTACATAATTACACAATGCATCAAATATTATCATTATAATTTTATAATTTTATTTCCATTGGAGCTTCCAAGATTTAATTAATCGATAATTAATCGATTTAATTCTATAATGATACATAGGGAAAGAGAGAGAGAGATATTAAGTGATAAAAAATTTTTTTCGTAAAACAATTTCGAATGTAAAACGTTGTTCTTTCCATATCAGCGTCCTTCGATCGTTATCAGTGAGACAATTATCTTTTTTATTGGTCATAATTAAGAATCCATAGAAGAATCTGAGATCAAATAAAACATAATTATTTCTGTTTCAACTATTATTTTCCATCACGACTCTTCATCGATTCTATTATAAGAATTAAAATTGCAACAATTCTGATTTTTTTTTTCAATTCGTAATTAATCCTCATTACGAATGGAGAATTCGTTTCCTTTATCGCGAAGAATATAAGATTCACGGAGAGCAGACAATGAACCAAGGCAACAAGAAGATGCATTTGTTTTATAACGAGATCAAAAAAATGAGCAAAGAAAGCGAAACAGCTGGCTTTGCATACATCGAAAACAATCGTTTACTTTCGATATATTGTTAATTAATTAAATTTAATTTAATTGTTAATTTTACACACTTATATATCTTGAAATTATACACACTAATATCTAATATTACTACAATTTCCTAGATTTTTCTTTGGAGTGACAAAGTCCAAAGAAACAATATTTAAAATGTGCTCTATCCATATTCATAGTATAATTGATATCATTGCAATTTAATATGAAGCGCATCAAGTTGATATAGAATTAATTGATTGAAATATGAATTAGTTAGGTATCGATTACAAACAGGAAATCGATCAAACTACGAACGTTAGAGCGTGGAAAAAAGACACCATCGAGGTGAGATTGCAGAGAGAAAGGAAACGCGTGTGTATGTGTATGTTGCAGTTTGATCTAAACTGTCCGTTGCCCGCATTTCATACAACATTATTGTTTACCGAGTACAACTTGGCACTTTGTTTGGATTCCATATGACTTTAATCACACCGCTCTGATTAATTTGATGGAACGAAGAATATAATTCCAGGGTATCGAGCTTCCTTGCTTTTATGACCCGTTTTCTTCGTTACAAGACACCCTCGAATAAATCGATATTTAGTTTCTCGTTTCATAAATCAGATGTTGGTATCGTTTTTTTTTTGTTTTCAAACAAATTAACTAACCATCTAGTTGAATTAATTAACTTTCGTTCGAGCTGAGGAAGAGTTGAATCAGGCAATAATCTGTATTGAGAAAAGAGATTGGGCTCGAGATCAAATCAAATTGAATCATGCATTATGCAATAATTACAAGTTGAAAAAAAAATATATTTAATTTTTCATAAAAAAAGTAATGAGATAAATTAATTTTTAGATACTTAATAGAGATCTATTAAAATAAAGTGAATATATTTTCTGAAGATGCCATTTTTTTCCCTAGATCCTTATATCTTCTTTTCTTACTTAAATTTCGCTATAATTAATTCAAACATTAATGTGAAAATAAGAAAGAATGAAACACAATAACATCTGAAATCAGCTACTATACTAAATGCAATAAAAGTGAACTAGAAGAAAAAAATCATGAACGAAAATAACAAATATAAAAATCGTAGCAAAAATTAGTACTACATACAGGAAAATCTTTACTAAAATAATAAGATAATAAGAATAAACATGTCTAATCTACGAAAAGAAAATATGAAATATGTTTTCATATTTACAATTGTATTTTTTGATACTAAGCAATTCCTCGAGATTATTAATTTCGTTCTCCCCCCTTTTATTCTTCTTCTTTTCATTCTATTTTCTCAATTCTGATAACTTTGATCTGATTTTCACAGAAAATCAGATTGTCACAGAATTTTGATACATTTTGCATAAATGTACATATGGACAATGTAAAATGTATACATATTAGAGAAAAAATTGCGCATGCATTGACGTATTTGGAGGCTCGACTGTGTGACTTACGTGTATAGTTATCATAAATGATTACATAACATAGTGGACATGACTGTGCGATGTATCCTCCAATAATGATTTTGCAAAGCAAAAGTATATATTCTGATTGTGATACAATAGTCAGTTTGTTGAAATCTTAACTATTATGATTCATATTCTTTGTATGTTTTGACTCGTTTCAGATTTATTTCAGACGATCGATAATTTAAATTTATCTTAGTTATTTACTAATAAAACTGGATTTATTGTTTATATTATTTAACTTAGAATTTTCATAAATTAATAATATAAATTATTAATATAAATATGCATCAAGAATGATTTTACAAGACATTTATAATTTTATAAATGATATTTTAAGTTTAAATTTTAAATTCTTTGATCCATAGTTTTGAATTCAATTTATGTATCAAATATATTTTTTATTTTTCAAAAGATTATTTTATATTTTGATTTGACAAAACGAAATCATAAATTATATATTTTTCATTACAAAATTATTTTGACAATTAAAAAAGTTTGTTTTTTTAAAATCTACTTTATAAATAAAACAAAAATCGAACAATTTTTAACAAAGTATTTTATCTAAAATATTTATTCTTGAAAAAATTCTAAATATAAGATTGAAAGTTTCTTTATAATCGTAAAACAACCTGCAGCATAAAGACAAGATTCTATTATCTATGGTCTTTAACCCTTACACATCTTATAATAAAGAGATTATTGCACATTCGTTGCGAGATAGATATTTTTTCGTCTATGAAGAATCTTTTGTTTATTGCTATTTTTTTATTAAATTATCATATATTTTTATTAAATTCAAAACTAAACGTGTAATTAAATATTAAATAAATAATTTAATTAAATTAATTATCAAATTTATTTTAAAATTGAATCAGTTTTAAAATTCAAATATTCGCGGTAATTGAGAATAGCATATTATGCGACATCTATGATACACGGAACGAACTGTTTCCTCATAATATTACGTTTCCGTACACGGCCGATAGTCTGGTTTAATTTCACGTATTCCGCGGTACGTATCAGCTGTTCGGTGACAGTTTGCCAGCCGTAAGAGTAGAGAGTCGAGGTTTATTGTTTGGGAAGCAATATGGCTATCTGGTGATTAGTAACAGTGCGATACGTAGACAAAGAAACAACGCAGTTCTCATGATATTTGGAGACGCGTTGTGCATCCTATAGTTTAATTTAAAATAAGAGAAACAATAGAATCGATAGAATGTTGGAACTCGAGGTGGTGCCCGAAAGATCCCTCGGTTGCGAGCAGTGGGAATTTATTTTAGGCAAGTGACGAAACACTAATGATGTATCACGGCTAAGTCGTATTACGCATAATTTTATGATGATCGAATTAATTTATAATAATTTATAAAATGATCGACAATCAGAGAATATTCTTGTAGCGTCTAACTGATCTTATTGATGTTACTGTCATGTCAGCATTCGCACTTTACTATTTCGTTCTATTTGTAAACATCTCGTTTGACAATCGCACGTAAACAAAGAAAATGGTGCTTGTTATGAATATTTTGTTACTTATTATATAATTTTTTACAAGTATAGATTAATTGTTTAAGATTCTAAAATCATATTATAAATTAATAGAATGATAATTAATTAGAATTTGATATTTGAGTAAGATATTATTTTAGAAATAAATGTAAATTTAATAAAAATCATAGAATTAAATGATTGTTAATGCGTATATGAATGAAACTAATATGAAAAAATAAGAGTAATTAGAAAAGTTAAAGCGATAAAATCTCAAGAATCATTTTTTAAAAGAATAACTATTTCAGGTATGCATTTTTCCCAATCTGTATCAATAATACAATCTCAAGTGGGCATTATAAGGGGAGTACAAGTACTTTATAGTGATAGTGTAAGTATATATTAATAGAAACTTAATTAAAGTGTTATTATTATATTTTTCATTCATGTGAAATTAATATACATATATATTTATAGAATCCTTTAGATGTAGATTTAGTAATAAACTTACCTCATGATGGAGTTCGACTTATATTCGATCCAGTGGTGCAAAGGCTCAAAATAATTGAGATTTATAACATGAAGTTAGTTAAACTCAAATACTGTGGTTTGCCATTCAATTCACCAGAGGTTTTGCCATCTATTGAACAAATAGAGCATTCCTTTGGAGCAACTCATCCTGGTGTTTATGATAGTGACAAACAAGTATGATATTTCCATTTATATTTCTATTTAATCAAAATTTATGGAACCAAAATATATTTTTTTATAGGTATTTGTATTAAATTTTCGAGGATTATCATTTTATTTCCCCATTGACTCAAAGTTCCAACCTGGATATGCACATGGATTAGGATCATTGCAATTTCCAAATGGAACTTCTCCTCTTGTAGCAAAAACAGCTATTTATGTGGGTAATATGGGTGCTGGAGGTGGAAGTGATGAACACAATTTAAAAGCACCACCACCACCTTTACCACTTGTAATTATTTTTTGTTAATATTATAAAAACACATATAAAAATAAGATTGATGTTACATAACCATATTTTGTTAGGTCTGCTATCATAACAATTTGTATTTAGAAAAGGCAGATGTCATACGTGACAAAATGCGTACACGAGGTCTTAAATTGCATCTCTTCACTGAAGGTAGCTCTGTAACGAGAGTATTATTGGAACCGAAAAAACGTTGCTTAACCAAAGAGGTTATATTTTATAATTTATTTTATATTATTTATATTGTATCTTTAGAGTATATTTTAATCTTTTTAAATATTATGATTGTTTTATAAAATGAGTAATGTAATACTAAAATTGATGATTTCTACATTTGTTGTAATACAATTTTCTTTATTCTTTTTTTTATACCTAATTATAGGTGTTATTTGGGGATACTTGTGAAGATGTTTTAAGTGCTTTAGGAGCACCATCTCGTGTATTTTTTAAAGCCGAGGATAAAATGCGTATTCATAGTCCTCATGCACATAAACGTGATAAAATAAGACGGTCGGATTTCTTCTATAATTATTTTACTTTAGGATTGGTAAAAAATTTTCTTAATGTAAATTGATCTAATAGAACAAGCCAAAAAATACATTTAAATATTTTATCGCTCGTAGGATGTTTTATTTGATGCCAAAACTCAATGTGTTAAGAAGTTTGTATTACACACAAATTATCCAGGGCATTATAATTTTAATATGTATCATCGCTGCGAGTTTTCTTTAACTCTTCCACCAGAAAATAATTCCACCGAATCGGGAAAACTCATAGATGTTTCCCCTTCTCCAGTTACGGTACGATATAAATATCTAAATAAGATTTGTTAAACAAACTATATTGACAAATGGAAATATCAATAAGTGTTTTGATAATTTTTTTAATATTTAAATATTTTCAATAAAATTGTTTACTTTAGATCACTGCCTATACGAAATGGGATAGAATAAGTGAGCAGTTGAAGGCTAGTGCACGGCCAGTAGTATTAAATCGTGCTTCTTCGACGAACACAACAAATCCATTTGGTTGCACATTTTGTTATGGTATACGCGATGCAATTGTTGAAGTCATGGCAAATCAACATATTGCGAGTGTAACTTTATACAGAGCGGTGTGACCTTGATAATTTATACAATAATATGGTGCATTATAAACCGCTCTTTAAAGAGCAATTGATGGAATGGTGTTTTTTGCAAAACAAACAAAAAAAAAAATAGGCAAGTTTTAAGTCTGTTAGAAATTGCATAATAACATCAACAACTTTGAAAAAGACTGTACAATGCAAAGAGAATTAACAAGAGTGCAAATATTTACAAAATCCTGATGCAGTTTCTTTTCCTAACATTAATGTAACATTGAAACCGCAAAGATTTCAAAAGAAAAAAAAAAAGATTACTAAGAAGGCAATGACGATATAAAGCTCAGAAAATCAGCGATATCATCTTGAATATCATATATTATTGCTTACAAATTTTACATTTTTTCCTTGGAATATCTAAAGTCAAGGAAATTAAATAAAACAAAACAAAAAAAAAAAAAAAAAAAAAAAGAAACAAAAACACGAAAAAAGCAAAAAGACGATCAACTAAGGGGTACAAGTGTCTGCAATATTCAATAATATCATATTTAATATACCATTTTTATCTTTTGGTTATAAGTTTTAAATATAGTTAAAAAAAAAATAAAAAAAAATGAATTATAAATTGTACGAGCAATTAATATGTAATGTCTGAACTCAATGATAAAAAAAAAAAAAAAAAAAAAGAAAAAAGGAAAGTAGTTTCAAAAATAATAAGAATTTTGATAGTTAACGAGGAAGCTATAATGATTATAACGTCACTAATGACTAATATGATAAAATATAATAATGTGCTTAGTGCAAATAAAGAAGACATCTAATTTTGGTAAAACAAAATTTTGTAACGCATGAAAAATCTAATAGAATGATAACGCAAAAACGATATTCTGGATATACAAATTAATAGGCATAATGTACTAGAATGGTATGTTCATTCAATCAGTGCAGAATTAAATCTACCAAAATGACAAAAAATTGAATATTGAAAAAAGGTGTTTATCAGTACTGAAGAAATTAAATTTATGGCCTGTTTTTTACGCTTTTATCTATCAAATTCTAATCATTGTGATATGTGACGAAAATTCAAAATGCGATGAAATAAAATAAATTACTCTTTGCATTAACACAAACAAAAAAATAAGAGATATTTAATTAATTACTTTCTTATACTATTTTGTGTTAAATAATACTTGTGATTATAAGTGTACTCGCAAAATTCGATTAGTCTTTAATCTTTTTAGTCGTGTAATATGAAATCATGAATTTATCATAAAATTTATAATTTCAGAAGGAAAAAATTTTCCTTTATTCTTTTCTATGAATTCGACTTCACATTGATGTTAAATTGCACAATCATATACCCTATTTCAAACGGTTTTCTGCTAATCATAGGGTATATAAATGAATATGTTTTATGTATCGTATAAACTTTGATAGTAATGTAATGAATAGTAATCATAAAATATAAATAACAAAAAGCGTTCAAGATGAAATGCGAAATATGAATGATGGATTACTTTAATTAACACTTTTAACAGATATGTGACAATTTTTCTTCCTGTTTACCTGAATTGGTGAAATTTGTGATCCATGGTTTTGAAAATTCTAATAAATTTTTATCAATTTCTGTTTTCTTTATTGAACACAGATAATATTTTAATTTAAATTTAAAATAATATATGATCTCAATATCAAGATTCGCAATTTGAAAGTAAAAGTAAAGTAAAATAGATAATGTTATTGAAAAAAGTGTTAATTGATGCATAATTATATAAAAAGCTTTGAGAGACGCAAAGCCGTATATACAATTTAGAAACTTATGGCTATTCTTGTTTCTCAAAATCCTATTTTGATAAAATACCTCCTCTTTTGTCGATTCTACCATTTATCTAATTAATCATTTATCTATTTTGCGTGAAAATTATTTTTAAATATATAGAGCATATATAGAATTCTCTAAATAAGTTTCATTGAAACATTCATAAATAATACAATAATAAATTGGAGAAAAAAAAAAAAAATAAAAAAATATGAAAAATAAAGATAAAAAAGATATCAATGGAACTCTTTTAGAAATTATATTCTCTGTATAATTATTTTTAATAATTCTTCTCAAGAAATCTCTCTATTTAGTTTATATAAAACGAATCATTTTGTATTGAATGGATTATAAAATTATGTAAAACGATTTTCTATAAATCATTTTTCCTCTGAAATTTGTTTTGATTTTACTTATCCTTATATGCATATACTTCGATATAAATTATTATACATATAATGTTTGAATTTATAGATTCTTAATTATAATTACAAATGAACGTTTCGTGTTTGAACGCAAAATAACAATTACTTTTTCTTTTTTCATATTAATTACTTACTTATTTTCTTCGCCGCGCGTTTTTTAAAGCATCTAATCCATAAGCGATATAATTCTTTTGCCGTGATTCAGGATTTCGAGATGATTTGAATCTATTCATTTTGATTTCGTTGAGTCTATCTCCTTGTGTCATATTATATGAATCGCTAATTCTGAATTTCTGTGACATTCGATCTACATCATCCGATCCTCGGAAATTTCTTAATTTTCCTTTAAATAAAAAAAAAATAGAAAATTATTTTATCATAAATACTATTGTAATACAAAATGAAAATTTATTCAATGACGCAGTTAGTTATTTATAATTTAAATTTTTTTTCTATTCTTGATATTTGTGATTTGTTTTTTAAATATAATAGAAATTATCATTATTCATAATGACTTACTTGATTTAAATTTAATTTAACAACAATAAACGATACAAAAATCACAAAAATAAAAAACACTATTGCCTATACACTATTCTATACATAACTGTTAAAACCGTTAGAAATTATAAATTAAATTGATGGAAATTGATGCGCGCGCAAGATTTTTGAACATATGAGATTTAGCACCAACATGAATGAACTTGAACTATATTATTGTTAAAAAAACAGTATTAATTATAAATTATTTAATGAAATATGTTCTAATATTTTTCTTTTATATTTGTGGATTATTCATTATTATACATGATTTTATTTAAAATTAATTTGGAATCAATGCTGAATTTTTAATTATATTAGATGCGCACGCATCTAATATACTACTATCGATATCGATATAAATTATTCAATAAGTAGAAATAATAATATTTATCTTCGTATATAAATATAAATGTTTTTTATTAATATTTTATAAAAATAAATTATATATTAATTTGCATAATTATTAATAAAATATGAATGATTATTAATAAAATTAAAATTTTTATACGAAAATAAATTATAATCGATTAGTACGTGATCGAGATCAGATGCGCGCGCAAGCTTCTACATTAGTTTCGGCGCGCGATTGTTGTTTTGTGCACGCATTGACATTTTCTTGATTTTTTTTTGTGTTTTATATTTAAATTGAAGATAGAACTTCATCAGAATGAAAATTTCAATCATCCTTCGTTTATGGTTCGTATATATGCATATATAACATAAATCAATATCATTTTTAGTATAAAAAGAACAAAATATTAGGTGGTAGTATTTCAAGGTCAATGCATCTACAATTGCATTCCACTAATTTGTTGAAATTTTGTCATAATAACGATAAATTGAGTTGAAAATATTATTTTTAATTAAAAAAGTATGTCTTTTTGAAAATTATATTGCATGTTATGTCAATTATTTATTATGATTAATTTTTAATTAATTATATATTATATACATATATACACATATTACAAATTAAAAAGAATAAAAGTAATAAAATTATAAAATATTGGATGAATACCTAAAATTCTTGTAAGTTTTGTTTTGCCCTTCTTTTCATTGGTTGAGTTGTCATATTTATTAAATCCTAGAATAATAAAAAAATGTATTAAAACATTTAAAATATATATATATATATCTTTTTTCTTAAATCATTTTTCTTTTTCAGATCAGCATTTTCTTGTTAAATCCAAACATTATTCAACATTTTCAATAGAAGAATTGGAATAAGAATTTTTTATGGAAATATGTAAGTAACTTTTAATAAAATTCATAATTATTTTATTGTTCCTATCCCTACTTTTTATATAATTTTATAATATACTTTAATATATATTTTAATATATACTTTAACATACTTTATATATACTTTATAATATATATTATATATATTATATATTATATATATAAAATATATTATAAAGTATTTATAATATATANTATAATATATATAAAATATATATAAAATATATAAAATATACTGTTCTGTAAATATTATTTTCTTATAAGTTCATTGATTGATTTTAGGAATAGATATAAATTCCCACCTGTATTTTCTCCTTCGGATGTGTATGATATTTTCCTTTCTGCCTTGTCCGCGAGCGAATATATCCCATGTTTATGGTGTAATATTATATCGCCATCACCATAATACTTCAATCTGCAAAAAATACACTATCATAAATCAGGTATTTACTTATATCATTTAACTTGCTTATTTATATATATTATTTATATATATTATATTACACAATAATTATGAAATTTTTTTTGTTCTCTATTGAAAATTAATAATACAAAAAGGAATTTTCTTTTTTTTAAATTTCTTTTTTTGCATATAATAAAAAGTTTATTTCATATTATTTACATATGTATATATAATAAAGAATATGAATTACTTATATTGTTGACCAGCATTCAACAAAATTTTTTCAATATTTTCTAACCAAGATTGCTGGTGTCCTATAACGGAACCAGGCCTGCAAATTCTTATCCAAGCAATAGCTTCTCTTGCTGTCATTTTATAATGTTTTATTAAGAATGCAGCAATTAATGAACCTGTTCTTCCTAGTCCAGCCTAAATAAATATAAAAAATAAATAGAAAGTTAAAAATAGTTATATTATTAAAAATAGTTTAAATAAAATTACTTTAATTAAGTTTTATAAGTTACTTTGCAATGAACTGCGATAGGTCCACTAGTATTTTCGCTTAAGTTCAAAAATTCATTCAAAATTCTTTTTGGTGGTACCGTGCCGTCTGGCATAAACATATCATAATGCGTGATTCCTACCTCGGTGAATCTATTTTTGAAATATTATATCAATTCTATATTTCAAATTGATTAATTATATAAAAGTATCATTTAAGAGTTTCCAAAAATTCAAAAGAGTAATATTATTTCCTTAGCAATTATTATTTATATTATTTCCTTAGAAATTGAAGATATTAAAAAACTCTAAATAGATTTTTTATATTTTACCTTGATGCATTGTACGCTTTCTTATTCAATCTAACTACGGCAGTAACTTCATTTTGTAAAAAATAATCGATGTAACATTCAGGAGGATGATAGGGAGTACCTGGTTCCGTGCTTGGACCAACAAAAGCCAAAAACTTTTGCGGTACCATCCAATTTAAAGCACCATTTCTCATGTCTTCGTATTTTTCATATTCAACCACATCAAAATCGTTAAAATTAAAAAAGCCAAAAGATGCTGCTTTCTTAAGCGCATTTAAGCAATCTATTTTTATTAAAATAATTAAATAATATAATTATACAGTTATATACGATTATTCAGATAACATTAAATTAATATTTCAGTTTAATTTTGATATAAATTTAAATTATATCACCTAACAAATGAATGCTATAAATGGCTGATCCCATAGAGGCATCTCGAAATGGCTTTATAGGAATTTCGCCTCCCATGAAAAGAGTATTGTAAGCTTCTCTTGGACTCTTGTTCAAATATAATACTGCAAAAGAGGCAACTAAATACGCGGCATTTGCTCTTTTGTGCTCTCGTTGAGAAGTATAGTGCACAATTTGTCTGTGCTCATTTCCTGGACTCTCTAGTTTTTTGTTTACCTTATGGCAATATCTGTTAGTAATATATATATAAAGAATAATCTTTAAGAAATTATTAATAAAAGAAGGGATAATTATTAAATTCTGAAAATGTAAAAATATTTAAAATTGTTACTTGTATAAACAAGCAAGATTTAAGGGACCAAAGTCATGATAGAAATTATTATAAACTAGCTCGTCATCGATTGTAAAAAAGTGGATATGAGATGTGCTTTTCACTTCTTTTCGACCATTGCATAACGTCGTAAAATAGAATTTGTCTTTTATATATTCGCAGATATAAGTAACATCCGGATGTTTATAAACTGTAGTAATATCTAGGGAAAAAAATAGGTTAAGAAATTTATTTTAAAAAATTGCAATCATCGCATTAGTTTTTCTTTTTTCATAAATACCATCTGGATTGAAGTTTTTATTGTCATAAATATGTGAATTTTTCTTTGTGTATACAACATTTTTCTGTTCGTACATCGTGAAAGGATATCGAAGCGCGTTCTTCTTGTACGCGCTATTATTTCCTATAAACTTTGTTCGTAGAACGACCATTTAGCAAACTTTTACTCCAATAATCGTAAAATTATTTGTATATCAGGATAGAATTCTTATTGTTAAAATTTTCATGTGATTGATCTTTAATTGTTGAAAGTAACCCAATCATATCTTCCATAAAAAACGACGATTTATATTCAATATAACATTGAAATAGGTATTTAATAACAGTAACTGGTGATGGTATCGAAGATAATTTATTATTGTCAAAGATAGCATCTGATTACAAAATTGTAATTAACCAAACACATGATTCTTTGAACCTAAAGGAGAGATAAAAAGGGAATGATCGATTACGTTTCTTAGTTATATCTGGAAGTTAATAGCTAATGATTTTATAATTTACGAACCTTAAAAAATTTTCATTTTTATAACAAAATAAAATTTGTTCTTAAATTTACCGTTGTTTGGCACGCCAAATTACTGATCTCATGTTTGCGAGACGTCTGTCAATCTTCAATGTTCTTCAATTTTCTTTTTTTTTTTT